CGGCCCGGCCGCCCGGCCGCCCCCGGGCCACGCACACGCCCGCGCGGGCGGCTCGGCCCGGCCCCCGGAGGCGCCGGGGCGCACACGCGCGCGCGGACACGAGGGCGCCGCCAGCGCCTCGCCCGGAGGCCGGGCCCGTCCGGCCCCGAGGCGAGGGGGGAGCCCGCGGGCCGGGGGGCGGGGGGCGGTACCTGGCGATTTTGCACTTTTTGAGGCCTCCGTCTTCCGCCACGGCGGGTGCCACCCCGGGAGACTTTCTCTTCTTCTTCACCGGCATCTTCCGCCCTCCCCGGGGGGGCGGGCAGGGAGCCGGGGCGGGGGGTCGCCGTCCGCGGGCAGCCCCTCGGCGCCGGCACCCAGTTCCCGGAGCCAGCGGCCGGCGGCGGAACAGAGGCGCCGCCCCGCGCCGGCGCGGCCCAGCCCGGCCGCCGCCCGCTCCCGGGCCCCCTCCCCGTCTTTCTTCGCCCGGGACGGGTGGCTCCGCGCCGGGGGACACTGCGGCTGGCTCTCACCGGGAGGAGACAGCGCGGACAGCGCGGCAGCCCGGCCAGTCACTGAGCGTGAGAGGCTCCGCCTCACCCGGATGCGAATCTCTCGGGCCGGAAGTGACGTCGCGCGGAGCCGGGCCCGGGAGGGGCGTGGCTGCGGGGGGCCGGCGAAACGCCCGCCGGCGGGCCGGCCGGGGTTGCGGTCGGACGGCGGCGAGCGCGGTGGTCGGGTGTGGTGGGCCGTGCGGCCGCCGGCGGCACTCGGTGTCCCGCCCCGGGAGCCTGAGCTTCCTGGTGAAGCTTCTCCCCGCGCCCATGCTGATAGGCACCGGCACGGAACGAGAGGGCTGCGCTAAGAGGAAGCCGGTAAGGTAGGCCGGTCACTCCTGCGCGTGGGGACCCCGCCTTGAGTGTCCCCGCCCCCTCAGTGCATTGTCACCCGGCGCCCTGCATGCTTTTTTGGGGGGTCTGCGGGCCGTTCTCCCCCGGCTGCTGCCTCGTCCCGGCCCTTGCTCACCTCTTGCTCGCGCACGTGGAGACTTGGCGCTACCGGGGTCTTTCCCCCGCGCTCGCCTCTCAGCCGGGAGACTGAGGGGGGTCGGGGAACATATTGGAAGGGGCGGCCCCCTACTCCTTGTTACCCAAACCACACTGATCAACCCACCTCCACTTCAGTGGAGTTATTGTTTATAAATGAGGGTTGCTGCCGGTAGACATAGTGGAAAGCCGTCAGTGGATGGTGTTTGTGAAATAAGTTCATCTCTGAAACGACTCTGGTAGTAGAAGACTGAAAAGTCTCTAGATCAGGGGTCCTCAAACTTTTAAAACAGAGGGCCAGTTCACTGTCCCTCAGACCGTTGGAGGGGCGGACTATAGTTTAAAAAAAAACTATGAACAAATTGCTATGCACACTGCACGTATCTTATTTTGAAGTGACAAAACAAAACGGGAACAAATACAATATTTAAAATGAAGAACAAGTAAAGTTAAATCAACAAACTTACCAGTATTTCAGTGGGAACTATGGGCCTGCTGTTGGCTAATGAGATGGTCAATGTCGGGTTCCATATTTGTCACTGCTAGTCGTAACAAGTTAAGGCGGCAAAAACACCCGGCGGCCGGATAAATGTCCTTGGCGGGCCGCATGTGGCCCGTGGGCCGTAGTTTGAGGACCCCTGCTCTAGGTTCTGTGACCGTTAAAGCGTTCCAGTGGGACTACCTCCACCTTGGCACCCTCACCTGGCCAATCAGAATATCCTATGTCCTCAGTGTCATGAATTGCTTCAGGATGGGATGTATGACCCAAGACAAGCCGATGAGTGCTTGGGTCAGTTGCACGAACTTGAACCACCAGGGAGCAACTTGGGTCTATTGCGCGAAATTGAACCACCAGGGAGCAACTCTATTTCCTGCAGACTTGAACCGGAGAAGGTATGTTGGAGAATGAAGCCAAAACTCAGAAGAGACCACTATCAAGCAGAAAGACAGAAAAACTGAGCCATGATTATATGATATGAGCCTGGAATCTGGGATATGCCCTGGAATTTTCAGTTATGTGAACCAATAAATTTTACTACTTTGCATATGCAGTTTATTTCTGTGTTACTTACAAACAAAAGAATGTTAAAGCTTGTGACCCTTCAACCCAGTTAAAAATGTATGAGGCCAAACAATCAAATCAGAATCAACTCAGGTCTCTTAAATATAACTTTTATCTACAAAAAGCAGAGGACAGAGGAACATGTTAAGCACCCAGTGCAATCAGCAAAACCTAAACTGTCGGAAAATGTACAGGACAGATGACCCAGTTTCTGTAACATATTATTAGGAAGAGAGGAAAGAAGGAAATTAAAAGAATTTAAAGGATACAGCAGTCATCTTCACTATATCATTCCTATTTGAATTTTGATTTAAACAATTTAATACTGTAGCATTTATGGAATAATTGGAAGTTTTAACACTAACTGGATATTTGATGAAATTCTAGAACATGTAAAACTGATCTATAGTGACAGTATGTCAGTGGCACTTGGGACCTGGGATGAGGTGAGAGAAAAACTGCAAAGAAACACAAGGGAACTTTTTGGATACTGGATATACTCTTGATTGAGGTGGTGGTATATATATGCGTTGAAATTCTTTGAACCGTACACTTACAATTGGTGCTTTTAATTGAAGGGCCACCGCCAAGCCACAAGTAAAGCCACATCCCCTCCCTTTCCTGGAAACAGCGACCCGGCAAACTAAAATGGCAATTGAAACGGTGCCTTCCTTTGTTCTTCCTCCGTGTCTTTCTTTGTTCTCCCTCCGCACCCTTTCCCGCGCCCGCGAAAAACCCACCAACCTGGATGGAGCTCTGCCAGCCGACCAATAATTGACTGACAGGTCGCCCTAAGCCCCCATAAAGGCTGGAGTGCCCTTGCTTCAGCGCTACAGCCTGACCCTCAGGTCCTGTAGCCACCGCATTCGACCCATTAAATCTCTTGGCCTTAATGGGTGTTGAGTCTCACTGTGCGCCACTGTCTTTCATTAATTGTGGACTATTCTCAATAAAATTGGTATGGAATGTGCAAACCAAACAGCAAAACACAAAGTAAAACAAATGATAATGACAAGACACAATTAGAAATAGCCAAGCTTATTTCTTCAAGAAGTGAGCTGCAAAAGCTAAACAGTTCCTTTCCCAAGGAGGATCAAAGAAATGGAATAAAACCCAAAGGATGGAGATGAGTCCTTCAGAAGACAATGTTCAAAGGATGTTCTTCCAGAGAACAGAGTCAGGGCCTAATCAGAGGGTAGGTGACTTTATCATGGTTGTCTAAAGCATACCACCAGCGTTGCTGTGCACCAGTGACCATCGCACATCTTCTGTTCATTTCTAAGTAGGACTTGTTTTTGTGGTTATTGTGTCCCTTCTCTGCCACTATTTATCGGTCGAGAGTGGGAAGCAGATTCTTGTCTCTTAGTTCATAGGTCATTGCACCATAGGGATCACTTTTAGACCTCAGGAAGAAGGCCTCACCATTCCTAGGGATTCTGGACATTGAGCTGAATGCGGTAACTGAATAGGAGCCTACTTACATTTGACTTCTCTGGAGAAAACAGATGAAAGACTGGATATGTGGATAGTCAGTCATTTAGTCAGTCTGTTATGCAATTTTCAGTTATGTGAGCCAATAAATGTTACTATTTTGCATTTGCTGGGTTTAAGCCTATAAAAGGCAGACATGTCTCCAGCATTCATAAAGCTGATGGTCTGGAGGGTGAAGACTAGTCATGCCCTATTTAACAATATTTTAGTCAATGCTGGACTGCATATGTGGTGATAGTTTCTTAAGATCATAATACTGTATTTTTACGGTATCTTTTCTATGTTTAGAAATGTTGAGATATGCCAATACCATTTGTGTTTCAGTTGCCTCCAGCATTCAATAGAGTAACATGTTGCACAGGTTTGTAGCCTAGGAGCAATAGGCTATACCATCTCACCTAGGTACATGGTAGGCTGTGCCATCTAAGCTCGTGTGAGCACACTCTGACTTTCATACATGCAGGCTATCTGTTTTTAAGAGCCTTGTACAAATAAAAAATAGGGTCCGTAATCTATGCTTGCCAGTGATGTCAAAGGGATGGCAATTTCCAGGGTCATGTGGACTATTCTTATTCACCCACATCTTTCTATTCTCCAGTCTGTTGGGAGCCAACATCTATAGCTACATGGCTGAGGCCTGTAAAGGCCCATCTGGAAGATCACCTCTGACATAGGATATCAGTTATGCCTATGATATTGGCGTGTGATTGGTGACCAGTGTGCCTACATGGCAGTAAAACTTATAAGTGAATCTCAGTACACTTGATGGAAGGTGCATGGCGGAATTGTTTCTCTGTCTTTCTAAGTTTTGCTTCTTTCTAGATATTTTTTAACTTCTATTTCCTGGTAGACTGGGTAGTCAGTTCTTGTTCCCGAAAGCTGTTTCCCCTAGGGCTAAGATTAGAAACTAAATTACCATGATAGTTTTGTCGCCCTGCCCCTAGCCAGGCAGAACGTTTTCTTTTGTTTCGTTAATTACCGAAACTCTGTCTGCTTCAGCCCATGGCCGCCATCTTGGCAAACCTGCATTTCCTTGTTCAAGAGTGTGACAGCTACTATTTGATTTTTAGAGTAGACTTGTTGGGATAAAATATATACATATACACTCG